CTCTGCTCACTGTTGCTCAGTGGTGTCCCACTCCACTCAGCATAAAAGCCAAAACTCCTACAATGGCCAATGAGGTTGTCCGCTTACCTCTCTGAACTAATCCCCTGGAGCTGCTGGTTCTCTCTGCTCCACCCACGTGGCCTACTTGCTATTTCTAGTTCTGTGATACTCCAAGCAGGCAACCCCTCATAAAACTTTGCAGTGGTGTTCCCTTGGCCTGGCATATTTTTCTCCAGGGCTTTCAAATGACTAAGTCCCTTCCTTTACTGGCTCCTCACTCAAATGTCACATGAATGAGTCTTATCCTGACAGATGACTGTCAGGAGACATTAAAGAAAATGTGATATTTATATACAATAGAGCATTACTACATTCTACAGAAAGCTAAACTTGAGTCATTTATAGGAAAATGGATGTACTTTGAGACTATAATGTTGAACAAAGTCAATCAGACACACAAGCTTAAATATCTCACATTTCTTGTGTGAAAAATTGACATATTAATACAGTACAAAATAAAAGACAGTAGGCAAAAGAGAAAGGTATTGTAAGCAAGTGCAGTGTATCTAAATGTGTACCTTGACTTAGTATAATTGTCTTATGTGTTTTACATGCTTTTGACCTATTGGTCTGGCTTTTAATCTGTATATATGACAATTAACTTTATAAAGTCTTATAAATAAATGAATCTGATGCTGGCAAAATAGAAGGAGGAACGGAAGGAAGAGAAAAAAAGAAATGTTATATACATTTAACAATTCCCTACAGTGAATGTAATCATTATGTACTGCAAACATGTACTAATAAAAGTAAAAAAAAAAACAATTAATAAAACTGCCCATCTATGCTTAAGCATACCATAAAATTAAACACGCCTATTTACTTGTATTACTTGTCTTCTCCTGTACAATGTAAGCTTGGAAAGGTACATTTTGGGGGGATGGGAGAAACAGAGAAGCTGTTTTATGCTGTATTTTTTTACCTTGAACAGTACCCATGAACACAGGAATGCTCAATAAATATTGGCTGTGTGAATACATTCATTCTGAAATAGTTCAGATATTATTCTTCAGACAACTAAAATGCCAGCAGTAGTGAAAGGACTACATCTGTGTCTTACACTATTTTAGCTGAAAAGCAAGAATGGGATTAGTGGGAGAAAGATGAGAGGCAAGAAGCCAACTGAGCTGTGTAGAAATCCAGGTGGGCATACAAAAAATACAGGGAAATACAGGGCAGCAAGAGGGAACCGGGAGACACATGTTTCTGCACTGTTGGTTTGTGTGTGTGAAGTCTGCTGGGGACACACTCTGCTGCTGGAACAGGTCTCATCTACACTGAGACACACACACACACACACACACACACACACACACACACACACGCCTCGTGGCCCTACAAAACCTGCCAGCTATATGTGCTTCAAGACACTTGACAGGAATGTCAAGCTGACTGACAATAGTTGCTTCTCCAATCTGAGAGAATTGTATGTAAAACTCAAAAATGTCACTCACTCTGGTTCTGGACCAATTTGGGGACTCTGGTGGCAGCTAGTTCAGTTCTCTGACTTGTAACTAACTGGAAGTTCTTGATAGAGTTACTTTACCATTCTCAGTTTACATCTTCCCTAGTAAAACTAATATAATAGTAGTGAATGTAAGTACATGCTGTGATGATCATGTTAAAATTTTAAAAATCTTAATGGGGCTAACAGTACTTGGCACATAACAAGTACTTAATTTTACTTAATTTTGACCACCTTTCCAGTAGGGTGCAGGGATAGTGCAACCTGTTTTTGTGTACTATAATAAATCATAATTATTCGTTCTGTATCCAACTTTGTCATTTGATGGTGAGCTCCTAGACTGACCTAATTTTTGCCTGAACCAGTGTAATCGATCAGGAAATCCCTACAGGAAATGCCCTAACCCACAGAAAGGGCAAACGAATGAGTGGATAGAATCCCATCTCCATTACTTGCAAGGCACTGTGCACACTACAAGCTGTTCATAATCCACTTCCAGCAGGCTGCCTTTCATAGCTGACCCAAACTGGGCACAAGGGAGGAGGCAGCAAGGCACTCATAATGCACAAATCCTAACATTTCGAGAGCATACAGCAACCCGCATTTCGTTCCTGTGACTCATGATCCTAAGTTCGAATTTAGGATTTAAATAATTTAAAGGTGACCCCTTATCTAAGATCAACTGTCCCCAAAAGCTAATGCCCTCTCGGGTGGTTTAGAGCTTGTGTTACTTTCCCTTAACCAAACTCTTGCCCAATAAAAATGACTTCAGTTAAGACAGAACAGCAGTCAGAGGGAGTATGGTCAAGGTATAGCTGGAAATAAGCTTCAGCTTCTGGATGCTGTGAAGGCACAGGGCTAAAACAATCTGGCAATTTTTTATTTTTTTTGACAATTTTCTGGAGAATTGGCAAGCACAAGATAATCCTTGATGGGTACATGATGGTACTAATGAAATCAATCACACTAAAGGAAGGTAGTGTGCACCTTTCAAATAAGAAAAAAATCAGTAAAATGAAATGATGTGAAATAAATGAAAAATAAGTCTAATTCTAGTCAAATGAAAAATGCCCCAGAGCCAGAAGAGATCCTATCCACCTCCCCTACTTTTTTATTTTTCATTCCTGAAGATAACCAGATGAAGGTTTTTGTTTTTGTTTTTGTTTTTTTTTAAAGAACCATCCCTTCACATACTTGGAATGAAGGACTTCCTTGTAATGGGAGATCTGCATTTGAAAGGAAAAAATGAGACAAAACAATCTTTTTCTTCAAAGCTACAATTCAGTTCTTTTCTTTTATTCTTGCTTTTTCCTCTGCTTTTTCTTTACTTCCTCTTCCTCTCTCCTTCCATTTTCTTCCCTCCTTCATTGCTGTTGGCAGTGTGCTTATGACATGTTCTAAAGAGGAGCCCAGTACTGCTGGAGCAGCTGCCTTCCTATGTGGCTCACTAGAGAACATGTGTGTGCAAACACCAAAAAGAGGCAACTTCTCTTCAGAGTCCTACAGAAGGACAGTGCCTCCTAAAGCACATGGCCAGACTTACAGAATCAGCATATGGTAAGGAAAGGCAAGTGTCAGAAGAGCTAATGATGGCTCAGAAACCCCTCTAGGCCACCTGGCTATCCTGAGCTTCATATGCCTGCTGGTAAAATACAGAAAACCTGAGGCATTTGTAGGAAAATGGATGCATACATAGTGTTAAGAGAAAAAAATCAGGCACACAGGCTTAACTGTCACAATATAAGTAAAGAGAAAACAAAAGATAACAGAAAAGAGAGAGGGAGGGGTAGAGGGAGGGAGGGAGGCAGGGAAGGGGACAGAGAGAGATCTTCAGGAGCAAAGCAGATCAAGAGATGGAGGGAGTGAGGAGGCAGGGGAGAGAAGGGGATGAAAAAGGAATTAAGACGTGTTACATACATAACCAACTCCCCCAAAGTAGTACATCATTATGCACTGAAAACACGTACCGGTGCCAACTGAAAAAATAGTATATACTATTACAGATTTACAAACTAAAAAAAAAAAAATACAGATAACTCCATCTCATAGGAGTTTTGAAAGGATTAAGTGATTTAATACTATATGAATATGAAAAGTTCCGGGAAATGAGACCTGGAACCAAGCCTTGAAAATAACATTAGGCACTGTGATTATTATGAACAGCATTCAAGATTTAATAATTAAGAATTTGTTTTGTTTTTGTTTTTGTGGTACCAGGGATCGAACTCAGGTCCTTGCGCTTGTGAGGCAGGCCACCAAACCGCTGAGCTAAATCCCCGGCCCAATAATTAAGAATTTGAACATAAATCACTCTCACAAAAAAGCACCCAATAAACCGTAGCTATTGTTATTAATATTATTATTATAATTATTCTTACTCTGTCTTTCCTTTGTTTGTTTTATTTTGAAACATGTTTTCACCTTGCTGCCCGGGGTGGCCTTGAACTCATAATCCTGCTGCCTCAGCTTCCTGAGTGCTAGGATTACCGGCATTGCTGCTGTCTCTGCTTGGCGTCTTTGGACTTAATTGGAAAGTCTGCTTTGCTCCTGACTCGGAGTGTGTCAGTTTTCATGCTAGTTTTTACATTCCCTAAGAATCTGCCCTCTGTCTCTGATGGGACATGCCCATATTCAGTCATAGCCCTGCTCTTACTGTTCATGTCACAGCTGAAATTTTGGACTATTTTCCCCTCAAATAGGCCTTGCTATCTTTCACTTTTGTGTCTGCTTATTTGTGTTCCCCTGCCTAGGAGCCTGTTCAGACCTTTGCCTGGTTCTCCTGTTTATCTTTTATGGCTCAGCACACGTCTTCTTCTCTCTCATAGAGTTTCCTAACCTAGCCTTGTATCTATTTACAGTATTTATTTCACTTTCATGGATTGTCTGTCTCCCCTGTTAGACAATTAACAATAAGTCAGCAAATTTCTGTTAAATACTTTCTCCAGGCCAGACACTAAGCTGGATACAGAGAGAAGTGTGATAAAACTCTTGTCTTTCAGGAGCTCATGGTGTTCTAGAAAAGCAGATTAGGCAGCCAATGAGAATAAATGTGGTAGGAGCTGGAGCTGTGTTGTAAAGGACAAATGAAGTTATTCCTGAGGGTGAAATGACAGGAACTATGACTTACAGACTATCAGCAAACAGTGAAAGATTTGGGTTGGGAAGTTGCATTGTTATTTTATAAAGTAGAATTATTACTTCTCTAAGAAAAATAGATGTGTAGAGAAATTTCAGGTGAGGAAGAGGGACAACCACCACTGCCTAGAGCAATATCTATTCCATTAGAACACACACACACACACACACACACACACGTGTGCGCATCTGTACTATGCCAGGCTGTGCACTGAGAGGATATAAACTCTCACTCGAGAGTCTGCAAGTCTTCCAGATCTTGGGCAAAGTGTGGTATGACAGAATGGGTTAGTCAACATGGAAGAATATTCAGGGCCCTACCCATAGAGTTTCAACTTACCAGTTTTCCAGTAATGCTCTGACCACCTTCATTCAGCCAGAACCCAGGGACCATGGCTGAGAAATAAGGCCCCCACACGCCTGGTACAAAAATGGGGTCTTTGCTGATCTGGAAAGAAAGAAGTGAAAACATTGACCCTCAGGGGTGGAGGAAGCTTTACCCTCCTCCCACCTGACGTTTTCCTGACCAGGAAATTCAGCTTCTTGTTAATTCCTTCCATGGTGGGGAGTCACTCTCTCTCAGGGAAGGTCATGGCTCCATTTTTGGAAACCTTTCTGATGAAACCATTTAGATGTCAACGTAGAAAAACATGATCATTATGGAAAGAAATTGGTGAAGCATATCCTTGCTGCCCCATATTCTGTGGCAGAGATTGCAAAATCGGTCTCTACTCTCTATCCTTCCTATACTCACATCCTTCATAATGAGACTTGCAGCTCTTCCGATTGAGAGATGGGTCTACCTCCCAACCTCTAGGATCTGAGAAGCTTGTGTCTTGTTTTGCCAAGGAGGAAGTGCCTGTCTAGTGTTCGAGGCCTAAGCCCAAGAAAGCTTTTTGCTTCTATTCCTTGTCTTACCCCTCTACCACAGCTATAAGTTTTGCCCCAGATGAAAATTCATGATTAACCCCATGATCTAAGATTGTGTGCCAAATATGGGGGAGAGCGCAGGCAAGACCAGCAATTGCATTCTGTTAGCCAGCAACTGACTGTCCCAGAGTTTCAGGGTCACCTAGCCAAACAACAGATTTATGAGCAAAAATACATGTCTTCTGTTATGTGTTACTAAGACTTCCTGTTTTTTACCTAGCATTTTTGTGGCAATAGATAACTGATACATTTCTTTTTTAAAAACCATTTTCTTGCCAGATAGTAGCATATTCTGTGGATGGGAACGCAGAAATGAATCAGATGAATTTTCCTTTCTAGAGAAAAAAAGAAGCTCAGATGCAAGGAAGAAGTATATGGTTAATATACACAGACTATGATTTGATCCATGGGATGATAAAGACAAAACAGAATTTTAAGAGGGATCTTGTAGCTGAGAAATGTGTTATATAAAAGTACAAAGGAAGCCACAGTTTAGGTAAGTACTCAAGACCCAGCTACCCATAGCTCAGTAGCCAAAGCTTAAGTCATTCTAATTTTCCTGAAATTTTAGCTCCCACAGTATACAGGCACAAAATATAAGTTTTATGTTTTTGTCAGAATGATTTAATGAAATTAAAATGCAAACTTCACATCCTTGTCAGCATGACTCAGTGAAATTAAACCAGTAGCTATAGGCACTGAGCTTACACAGTTCTTCCCCATCCCACCACACACCAAAAAGACATTAATAGCCAATGAGGAAATCAGGAACAAGGCCAGAATGCTTTCTCCCGCATGCTTCATAAATTGTGAGGTAACCCAACTGCTAGGGCTCAGCCTCTTACCACTTGGGTTGAAGTCTTGCTGATCACAATCTGTGCTTTTTGTATGACAATAAACTTTTCCATAATTTGTTCTGATTTTACATCTGACAAGAGAATGTTACAGAGGTGGCTTCTCAGAGAAAGGGACAAAAGGTTCGTTTTGCTAAAAGAAGTGGAGCAGGCATTTTGAACAAAGCCTCATGGGAGAAAAGGTGCTCTCAGCTCCTGAGACACCGCAGTGTTGTTGTAGCAGACCACAGTGCCCTGTAAAGGTGAAGAAAGGACGTATGTATGGAGATGAGCCAGGACAGATAGTGGGGAGCTGTGTATACCTTCATCCCCAGTGGTACCTGCTTATCTTCCACTCGGCAGGAATGGCTGCTAAAGTCAGATTTGTGAGTGTGGAAAGGTTTAGCTGGAGGGTAGGGAGGTAATGAGAGTCAGACACACATGGTGTACTCTACCAGGTCTTGAGAGAATCTATTCTTTTATTTATGCAACAAAGAATTATTCAGGTCTTACCATAAATTCCTATTACTATGCTAGCTCTAGAAATAGAGAAAAACTGAATACCCATTATTTCTGCTCTCATGAACTTTATGGTCTAGCCTGTAGATAGACCTTCTTTAATTGCTTTTATGCCAGTTCATTTTAGTTTCTTTTTCACTAAACTAGTGATTCCTTAATTCTGTAGAATTTCCAACCTCCAAATTTGGAAGGGAGTTTGGAAAGGCAAGGAAAAAATATAAAAATTTCAACTTTTAATTTTGTCAAATAAGTGCAATTTATTAAAAGGGCGAGGGGGTTTAACATATAAAATACGAAGAATAATCTCAGAGAAATAGGCCCCCAAAAGCACAGTGGTTCAACATACGCATCTTTTCCTTTACTGGATCAACCGATGTTCCCTGAGATCCTACTACGATCCAGATGCCTGTCAGGCACTGGAGACACAAAGAAAGGGAGTGCAGCACTTGTCCTCCCACAGCATGCCATCCTCGGAGGAGAGAGGGTGGCCACTCAAGTTTGCTAGTACTGTACCAGTTCCAACACTGAAAGTCTTGTGTCCTGCAAACCTATGAGCCCCAATCAAACTGGGACAGCTAGTAACTATAAAACAAGCATTAACTGAAGCCTTTCTCAGCCATGTATTTATAAAGCATAAATGAATGAAGGGAAACAAAAGGTATTATGACAGCACAAAAATGAGATACCTAATCTAGTCTAGGTGTCAGGGAAAGCTTCACAGAAGTGATATGTCAATTAATATATAAAATACACATAGAATTTACTCACATGGGTGAGTTGTGTATTGTGTGTGAGACAGCCAGGGAGCCAGCCACAAGGAGCACACACTAACTGGTTCTCATTTTTGTCAACCTGCCCTTGCCAGTGAAAATGTTTCCACATGCCAACAGTAGAAATTCCTGATCTAAACTGCACTGGAGAGCTCTGGGGTGAAAAAAGCAGCCCATATTTATAACTGTATTCACAACTCAGGATTTGGACAGGTAGACACTCACCGAGGCAAAATCACCTTTGAGTGCACTGCACTTCCTCTCTGCAAGAACTCTCGGCTCCACCTGACAGAATAGTCCTGGAGAGGTGGTCTAAGTTGTCCACGGTCACACAGCTATGTGAATGGCTGAGGGATTTAACTGAGGTAGATGCTGTCCTCAGACCCACCCATAGGCTTTCTGTTCCCCAGAGCTCCCTTAGGAAGGACCCATATCCACCTAGCTCCCACCCAGGCCCACAGGAAGTGTGTTGTGTCACCTCAGCAAGCCTTCACTAGAGCACAAGGGCTCTCACTTGGCTCTGTGCACAGACCATTTTGAGCTGATGTGTTTCTGTGCTCATTCATCTGGCATGGCACATGCTTCCCATCAGACACTCCAAGTAAAGTAAGGAAACAAAGAGAATGTCCAATCTTTCCCAAGCCCCGTGCTTTTAAAGGAAACGAGTAACAGTCTGTTTTGAGGAAGAGGGAGTTAGAGAATGCATATTTGTGTATTTATGTATTCTTTAATCCTTCCCAGTAAACCTAAATATTTGAAAATATTTTTGTGAAAGCTCCTCCTAGGCTGATGGCTATTTTGGCTGGGAGGCTGTCCTATGATCCAAAAGGAGAGTGCTGACTGCACCACAACGAGACAGTTTATTCTGTGTCAAATACCAAATAAACGTTTGCTCTCCTGAAACTGAGACGTGCACGATGGAACACTCAAGTGACTAAGCAACCACAGCTCACAGTAACTGGAGCCAGGATGGAGGTCTCAGATGTGCCCTTGGTCTCCTTTTAGTCACCATCTCCAATTATAATATAGAAGTAAAGTGCATCGTATTTTCAGATATTAAAACTTGGAAGATTTGCTTATTATGGGAAATGTCCCAATCAAGAATCAAAATTACCTCAGAGAGCTAGAGCAGTAATCAAAATTAAATAAGAAATCAGTTAAATTTTTTAATAAAAATCAATTTTATTTCCATATAATAGCAAAATGAAATTAGGAAAGCAATTTCACTTACAACAATATCAAAAAGGAGGTATGTAGGAATTAATTTAACAAAAGAAATACAAAACACACTGGGAAACTGTAAAATATTTTAGAGAAAATTAAAGTCTAAATAGATACAGAACAAAATCCATATTGAGTGTGATGTTACAGTGGACTGGCAACTTGACTGGCCTAGGGTTCTGCCCCTTAGATATAGCACCTTTTCACTGTACCATTTATTTCCAAAAGTGTCTTTGTTAATACAGGACCTTGAATCCCACATGGATTTTAGAGTCAGCTGGTTCATTTCTACAAAGGATCTATGTGGGATTCTAATGGAGATTACATTGAATCTGTAGATAATCTGAAGCACTTCTTGGTGTATATGAGTGGGTCATAAAGGCATGGCCTTGGGGCCATGTCTGTTTCTTGCCTCTCCCTCTCTGGTGTTCTTCCCCTGCTCTGTTTTTGGGCCAACAGGAACAAAGCATCCTTCCAATATGGTGTTTGCTTCACAACATCCTTCCAACATGTTGTTTCTGCCTCGGAGTCAGTCTGCCACAGACTGAATCCTCTGAAGCCATGAGTAAAGTTAATCCTCTTTTTCTTTATTTATGTTGTGGGTGTCAGGAATTGTGTCTTACCAATGGGAAAGCTCAATAAAACATTTATGAATCAGAAGATAGTTTTTTAAAGAAATCAATGCTTCACCAAATTACTACAAATCAATGAAATCTCCATTAGAATGAATCCCACATAGATTCTTTGTAGAAACAAACCAGGTGACTCTAAAATCCATGTGGGATTCAAGGTCCTGTATTAACAAAGACACTTTTGGAAATAAATAGCACAGTGAAAAGGCCCTAGCAATATCCTCTTTCATAGGATGGGTAGTGGATACATGGATATTCATTTTTGCTTTGCTTAAATTGTACTTAGAGATTTGATATGCTTAGACCGTATGCCAGGAACTGAGATCAACAACAATGTTGTCAAAGTAATAATGCAAAATATTAATAGTGATGATGATGATAACAATGATGATGCACAGCCCCAAAACTACAACCCAAAATGGCAAGCACTGCAATGAGGCTGGAGAGAAATCTGGTAGAGGCCAAAGGTAAGCACCACTTAGTGCCTGGGAGGGGAGTAAGCGCCTATCAGAGGTGGTCACAGAGATGCTCTAACTGCTCTGA